CCTTGCTCCCTCTCCTACCTGCTGAATCTGTCCTCTGTCGATATGTTCTCTTCATCACCTCCTCTTCTTCTTTTATTCCCTTTCAGTTTATTTATTCATCCCTTTTGTCCTCTCCCCCTTTCTATGTGTGATGTCTCTTCCTTTTCTCTCCCAGTCCTCCACACTTCCCTCCTATCCTTTCCTTTTCTCCCGCCATTTCACCTTCTCTTCCTCTGTTTTCCAACTTCACTTATTCTCTCCCAGGCTCCCATCTTATCTAATTCGTGTCTACTTGTCCTCCTCCTTCTACTGCACCACTGGCTCATCTTTATTCCCCAGCAGTTTTTGTTTGTACAATAAAAATCTGCTCTTTGGAAAGAATGAGGTCAGTCTTGATAAAAGGGTTAAAGGTTATATAATTTGCTTTTGTGATGTTGTCCTCTTTCATCTTTCAAAACGAGGTTAATCTTAGTCTAAACTGTCTACCTGGAGAAGTAAGAACATGTTTTTAGGTTTGATGCATTGAAAAAAAAAGCAGAGTTGTCATTAGTCGATGTACATGGCCAGCATTTTAATCAGTAGATTACTGCTGTGGAAAGGTGACTGTAATCTGTCAGGAGTTTGTGTTTTCTGCCAAAGTTGGCATAAACAGGCCCCTGTAATTATGGCAGCTCCATTAATTACCTCCTCCTCTCCACTAACATTCTTTCAACTTTTATTTTGTTTACCTCTCTGTCTCTCTCTCCATCCTTACTATCTCATCCTTCCCCGCCCTCATCTCTGAAACAATTTTGTCCTAATTGCTGCTTTGCCCACTACCTAATGAGGAAGGCAAAGAAAGGAAGAGGTCGGAAAAGGGAAAGGAAACAGGGAATAGACTCATCATCAAAGAAAGGGGCAAAACAAAAAGAGACGGTTCCTTTGCCAGGACACTCAGGAAAAGGTGTCAGCTCCTATCTTCGGCCAAGAGAAAGAAAAATGTTTCCTTTTTTCTACTGAGAACAGATTCATGAGTTCTTGTTAAGTCTGCCAGTAGCATTGGGCACTGCACTCTTGCCTGAGTGTGTGTGTGTTTACTGCAATATTTGAAGTATACCTATGCTTTGGTGACTTGCAGTCTAACTCTCACTTGCACTCCACTAAAACACACACACACACAATGAATGTGAAGTGAAAGAACAGAGGTCTGGAGAGCAGCAAGCGATCAAGTTTTCATATCTTGTGTGTTTTGAGGAGGGACAATGAGATGTTTTATGAAGCCATCTAGAGGACTTCTCATCTTTCCAGTTCAAGGATCCTCACTGGCTTTGTCAGCACCAAACAACGGGACAGCTGCGCCTCACACACACACAAACACACACACACACACACACACTTCCATACAGATACTCATTTGTGTTCATATGAAGAGCAGAGATACCCTCCCTTGAAGGGTGGGTGTGGTTGCTACCAAAATCTGCCCTTTGACTTTGACTCTTTTTCTCTCTCCCTCTCACTCACACACACACACACACACACACACCTGGAGGCCACAGAGTGGTCACACACTCACATTTCAGGGCTATCTGGTTTAAGGATAAATGTCTCATGTCTTTCTCTGCCGTTTTAGATTCCTTACCATCCTTTCACTCTCCATATTCATCTGTTCACCCATATTTTCTGCTTCCTCTTCAGTGAAAAGGGAGCCAACTTTCAGTAATCAATTCTTTAAGTGGGCTTTTAATCAAGTTCTACCCCCTCATAGAAAATATTCTGCAGCTTTAAATAAATAATGGTGCTTAGGTTTAGGGTTTTACAATTTTTTGTATTTTGTCCAATGCCGATAGAATGTTTTAATAAATCAACACACACCAAAATATTAGAGGTTCATCTGTCTCAGTCCATTAGCCTTGAATTAATTTTTTTCCGTACATCCTCTCCTGTACATCCTCACTCTGTTGTGCTCACCTCTCATCATCTGTTTGTAACCCACCCAGAAGGTGCATACACTAGGAGTATTAGATCAGCCTTTGCAGAGGTGCTACACTTATCCTGCTTTCTTTCTTTCCTGCTCACTCTTTCAACTACTCTGATGCAGAACTTTGAGCAATTACTAGATCTTTCTCACTGGGGTTCAGGTGATGTTGGTTTTACAAGTACCACTCAAGATATTATTACTAGAATCAAGCTTCTATTAGATGATACTTTAAGATTTCAGTATATTTTATTTTTATGCCAAGGAATTTTGTAAATTAGATATTTAATGTTTTACCTAGAAATATATTAAAACATTGCACTAAAGCATCTGGAACTGAATTTGGGACACCAAAATTCTCTATTTACAACAGAATGACTTTGGGTGAATCCAGTGAGTCTGATCAGACTAAGGCGATTCCCATCAACAATTAGTGTAGAACTAATGACTTATGCTATAATTATGCAGTAAAACATGTTTTTATTCATAATTACAATCTGTTGGGCACTATATTTATATGCAACCAATTTGATTAGCTAATTATGTTTTTAGGAAATCAGGGTGATTGGATGGGTGCACAGAACAAAAGATTTTGAAGCTGGAGACTGGGATTTGCATCCTGCAACATATTGTTGTTTGTGCCATCTCTGGTAGGCTAGTGGTTAAGGCGCAGCGCTCTGGCCGCTGCGGCCCGGGTTTGAATCCAGGTTGCATCAGGAAGAGCATCCGGCGTAAAAGATGTGCCAAATGTCAACATGCGAGTCGTCAATGTGACGATTTGCTGTGGCGACCCCTAAACGGGAAAAGCCGAAAGTGACTTTCTTCCTAACATATTGTCGTTTGTGGGCTACTAAAGCCCTTGATAAAGGTTGTGGTTTTGGTTATAATATTGGAAAAAGCCAACTAATCACATCATGTCCTTCATGTCATTGCTGGCTTTTGAAGTATTTTACCAAGACAGCACCCTTTAAAAATCGTAGTTCTCTAAATATAACCAATAACTATAGCAAAAGCAACTGTGTTATGTTGACAAGAAACATTTCCTCTTATTGCAAAAGTAAAAAAGGTAATTGAATTTCCTACAAAACTAGTTGCTAAATAAAGCTGAGTAC